AAAAGTGCACATGCAAACTAAAAGCAAAGATCAAGTCACAGAGCAGTGGTTTTTGTCTAGGAATTTCATACAGTAGATACGTCCAGAAAATCTCCCAGAGAAAAAGCAGACTCCAAGTTTGTGGTTCCATGGAAGCGGATCAGCCGGGCAGCTGTGGCCCTAAACTGTCTCCTTGGCAGGAAATGGTGAGGAGCAGCAGAAGCAACTCAGATTATGTCAGAATCCTGGGACCGACCTGGCATGGAACCGCAGGAAAGCTGGAACAGAAGCTGTTTGTTCATTTGCCAACACTTACCTCAGCATGACTCTGCCAAATAATAAGTGCCAACAAATTTTCAAGAGAGTTACCCTTCTGTGTACAATGAAGAGAGACTGAGGGAGGATGGCGGTGAGTGTGTAATTATACTGCGCCCTTTCCTGAGCTCAGTGCTGAACTTCACCTACTGCCTGACAGTGGGAAATGACACTTTGTCAGATTTCTGTCATAATCAGTCCCAGGATAGAACGTGAAATCCGATGACAAAATGCAGTTGAGACCATTTGCCATTAGGCAGCAAGGAACTCAATCCAGAGTACATAATATGTACCTTAATTTATTAAACTTTACATACCTTTTAACTGAATGCCTTCTTAAAGGAATAGTAAATTGTAATTACTTAGTTACTGACCCAAAAATAATTTATAGATTTTTTAGTTGGAATGTATCTCTGTAAGAGGTCACCTGGGAAGGTGCTCCCAAGATTAAAAGCATGAGAGATTTCCATGGAGATTATTGCACTGCAGTATAGATTTATAAGTGACTCAGATGTTGTGAGGTTTTTTCCTTAATAATCCGTGCAACCATCGCTGCATCAGTGAGCAAGTATTAGAGTCACACCTTCGGAGAGGGGCAGCTTTGCCGAGAGCTCCGACATAATGCATCTTGGTAGGAAAACACTCTTTTTCACCATGTGCATGGCATCTTCTTTCTCACCTAGGCGTACAGCCCAGGAACAGCCGGCTCTTGAGAAATGACACACTGTCTACCAGCTTCAGACACAAAAAGCTGGACAGAAGCTGCCTTGCACGTAACTACATTGCCTGTCCACTGTGCCCCTTGCAGCTCATGCCTTACATGCTCTGCTCCCCACCTTTAAACATATTTGTGTGTGCGCACCAGCAGTGAGAGACAGACAAGGCTGGGTTTGGGATTCCTCCAAGTAGCTTCGTTGTCAATCTGAACCAGTCTACCCAGCTCAACTCCGGCCACATAAAGGAAACCAAAAGAAAACATTATGTCCCTACAAGTCTAATGGCACTGTTGTATCAGCACATTCTGTACTTTTTCATATTTTGTTTTTGTCTTTCGCTCTTATTAAATTCAATAATGAAACACCATATCTAATTTATGAAAAAAAAAGGAAAGTTGAATGGAGAGGTCAGACTCATAAAAGTGTGATATCTCTAGTTGGAGCCAAATTCCTAAAGGTTTAGCCTGTGAAATAGCCAAGCAAAATAAGACACAATTGGTGCTAACTTCATTTTCAAACATTCCCACAAGGAGGTTTACAAGTGCCCGGAGGGGTGACTTAGCCTCAATTGTGTCTTGTTTAATTTGGCCATTTAAAAGCTAAGGTTTTTCTAACTTGGCTCTACTTGTAGATATCACACCTCTACATGTCTGAACCTGCTTCTTAACTTGGCTTTTCCAGTGCACATTAAGTGTTTCTGATTTAGTATCACTCTACAAGAATTTGTAAGTGGTTTCTTTGCACTAATGTCTGGATGGATTGGGCTCAGGTGTATTGGTGGGTTTCCACTATTAAACTATTTCACACTGCTTCACCCTACCTAATGGTTAAACTCTCAGAGTTCATCTTCTGTGCTGGAGACTATAAGTGCTCAGACATGAAAGAACTGAAATTTACATGTTGTAATTCCAACAAATCAAAATGGATAAATTGTTTAATTAAATAAATGCATTATCTTTACCATGAGCTTCTGATTAACATGCTTTACTTGAGGGGAAAAAAAGAAGAATTTTCTGGTCTAGTAAACAGAATGCAGAAATGATCTGTGATGTGAATTTCTCCATGTATTAAGTGGAAAAACTATTTATTACAGATTATGTAGTTCATGATAAACATGAAGTAATATAAGTAGAGCAAATTATGAACACCTTTATGAATGTTCATTATATTTGGTTCCTTTCTCCACAAAAAGAATTAAATCCAGCTTATAGAGATGTTCAAAACACAAGATAACCTAGATTAGAATACACGAACTGGGCTGGGAATAAAACCCAGGAGCAGAGAGCTTGCCTAATATGCAGCCTCCTGCAAGCCACAAAAAATGACTTCAGAATGAAACAAACCATTTGAGCACCAAACCTCAATTTCTTTGTGTAAGATGGAGCTTATAATAATTTGGACAACTCTAGGCCTTAGAGAGAATTACATGAGAACACTGATGTACAAGGTATAAGTCTTGATGAGATATTTCACTGATACTAATGGAGAATTAGTTAATTAAGTGTTAAATGATGGTGTGAGTAACTAGAAGAGCTCAAGGAGAGGGCGCTTGCATGGGCTAAAGATTAGCAAGTGCTCTCGGAACAGATGCGTTTGGGGTAGACCTTGAGGGATCTCTTCAATTTGAGGGCACATAAGGGAAGAAAAAAGCCTCTTTAAGGAGTTGAGGGAAAGGAGATGGGAGAGGCAGAAGGCTGGCAGCAGCTGATACAGAGACAGGCAGGGGACAGCTGCTGTCCTGGGGAAGGAACTGCAGAAGAGGGGCTCCCTGGAGTAACAGAAGTGAGACGGTGAAAACGAAGGAGCCTGCTGTGAGCTCAGTGCTTGTGTTCTCCCCACTGCCACTTAAATCCTTAGGTTGAAGCCATAGTATCCACAGTGATGGTGTTGGAAGATAGTAAGATAGTGCTGTGGGAAGACGGTTAGGGGCGGTGTCATGAAAGTGTGTGTCTGGTCTGATGAGATTAATACCTTTATAAACAAGAGAAAGTGCAATGTGGTCCACTTTCTCTCTCTCTCTCTCTCTCTCTCTCTCTCTCTCTCTCTCTCTCTCTCTCTCTCTCTGTCTCCCTTTCTCTCTCCATCCTTCCCCCATTGTGCACATACAGGGAGGAAGCTCTGTGAGTGCATGGCAAGATGGCATCCTCCTACAATCCACAAGAAAAGGCATCACAATGAAACCAACACTTTGATCATGGACTTCAATACAATAACAATAACAGGGAGTGTTATTTGGGCAGTGTGCTAGTTATGATGCCCAGGGAGGAATGAAGTTGACTGAGACTGCACACAGAGAAGCCAGCCGAGAAGCTGTTTTGTCATCTGTAGAAGGAAAGTATTGAAATGAAGGTAATGTTTGGAAGCAGAGCAGTAGGGCAGGAGAGCCAGGGAATACATTTAATTGGCATTTTTAAGATACAGTGGTATCCACTGTTGAGAATAAAGAAGAGCAGAGGGTGGCCCTGACTTAACTCGGGCTCTTGAGTTTTCTCTGTTTTACCAAGTGGATAAAGAGCTCACAGTGATTAGGCTGAATTATTCAAAATAGGCAACCCAAGAGCAGTTAAATTATAACCATCACCTTCAATAATAATGAAGAACGCTAAGTCATGACTCAGACTAACCAATCAAAGATTGGGAAGTGAAAATTACATTCAGTTTTGACTTAATTCCAAGCTATACCTCTAATGTCAAAGTTTCCTGGAGAGTTGCTGTTCCATATCCTTGCTTCTCCATGCATCAGAAAAAGAGTAAGCACCAAAACGTGACCTCAGTTCTCTCTTGGGCTGTTTGTGACTGAGTGAGACAACATTCCTAAATAATTGGAACCAAAAACATTGCCACATAAACATAAAGTTGTATGTCAAGATATTTGACAATCATTAACAAATAATCAAGACCAGTGGGAAAACTAATTTCTAAAAATTAAATGCTCTCCATCAGGAAATGTAGGGTTCACAACTTGAAGAATTTCATTATTGGACTATATTTTTGTTATCCAAAGAACAAACTTCATATTGGACTGTTTAATCCCTAAATTTCCTTACTTAATTAAATCATTCTAATAGCATCTCAATATATAAAGTAACTGTTATCACTTTAGAGAATGTGAGAGATATAAGCAGAAAAAAATACACTTATCAAACCAAAGAATTCAAGTTATCTGCTGAGTTCTTTATATGTGTATCTATACACAAACACACATGTACCATACAACCATATATATGTGTGTGTGTGTGTGTGTGTTTGTGATCACATGTATACACTCATGCAAAATCTATCCCAAGATTTCTAGAACTAGAAACAACTTTATAAGTCATCTCACAGAAGGTTTTAATTTGCCAGAAGAAACCAATGAAACCCAATTCCCACTTTGCCCCAGGAAAGAACTGGGGAAGAGTTAAAGTCATTTAGCAAGGTCTCTGTCGGTTAAGTGCTCAGCCCAAGATCTGCTCATCTTGTCACACTGCTTCCCTGTGCACTGCCCAGCCCACAATACCAGAGCCTTTGTTAGGAATTCAGAACTGTCCCAGAGGAGCTGGCTGCGGCCATCCTGGGACTAAAAACACTCAAGAAAACTTAAGGTCAATCAACTCTTCGAGAGTTAATTGCCTGTGGCTGTTCACCCCACTCAAATCAGAACCCTGGAGTCCTCTGTCTCCTTTTTCAAGTTCCAGTTGTGACAATTTGTAACAAAGACAAAATTTTCCAAAATATGCATCTCTGAAATCACAAGTTAGAGGTATTTTGTGTTCGAGTGAAGTTCTGGAAACGTTGTTAAATCTTTTCTGCTCTTACAAATTCACTCACCACATATAAACCCTTAGAGAAGCTTGCAGGTAAAAGTAAGAGAAGAACAACATGGTGAAGAAAGAGGCAGAGAGAAAAGGGAGAAAGAAATGGAAGAGAAAGGAGAGGAAGAAAAGGAAAAGAAAGAGAAGGAAGACCAAGAAAAAACAGAAAGCAATAAAAAGACAGACCGGCCAAGAAGAAATTTTATTTCTGTTTAATCCAGGATTTGTTGAGCTTATCTGGTTACAGACCCCTTTGTTTGTACAGTAGCTCTCAGAAATAATAGTCTATCTATCACAATTTATGAAAATTTGCATTCAGGTCTTTCTACTTGCAATTGGATGTACATGCTGTTTGTGCCTACTAATGTGTTCGTAATTTAACCTGAACTTCTGGGGACCTAGCTTAACCCAAGAAACAATTGCTGCAGGGAGATTCATACAATTGAGAGGTCCCTGAGAGAGAAGGGGACAAGCAGAGCCTTCCTGGCCACACAGTGTCCGGTCGGGAAATGCACTCAGCCCTGCCCGTGGCCACCTGCGGCTCTCCCAGACCTGGTCCCAAGGTGAGCAGGAGGCCCTGAGACCGAGCTTTTCACTCATGTGGTTTCCTACATGAAAGCATGTGGGGAGAAAGTCCCGGAGGAGAGCACTGGAAGGATACAGTTTATCACACACTTTTCTTTCTGCAGCATTCACGGAAAAAGGCATTAGCACTTGGAACTCCTCCGAATTGCGCTTTGGTTTTGTAATTTGATTTATTTATGGTTTTCTGGGTCGAGGTGTTGGGAAAGCTTCAAATTCTATGTCAGATCCTCCTAATGTGTTTGAAAAGCTCTCTGACAACAGATCCCATGTGGGAATTACCCGGGTTGCCCACGCATGGCGTCCCAGCACCCACTGCTTCCTGCAGGAATCTGGCAGGCTGCCCCCTGCCTGCCCTTCGCTCTCCCCTGGGCTCCATGGCTCGCTCACTCTGAGCCCAGGGAAGCCGCTCACTCTGAGCCCAGGGAAGCCACAGGACACACAGGAAGGCAGTTCCCTCCCTCTGCACTCAGCGCCTCCGTGAGGATGGGGCTTGCTGCATAAGGGATGCTGGGCGGACCACAGCGTCCACTCCTCTGTGCTTTTGCAGTGGCTTCTTCTTTTCCTACATTGGTTGTCCACTTCCTGAGCCCCTCACACACCTCGTCTCTTCCCACAGTGTCAGAAGATGAGCTGCAAAATACACAGAGGCAAAATATATGCCATGGAAGGAACAGAGAGGAAACTGAGCACAGCCCGCTGAGACTTCAACCAGCTCGTCATTTCATCAGTGTGTTTGCTGCTCAGTCATCAGATATCCATTCCTTCCTCAAAGAGGCAAATTGAGGGTCTGCTGCATTAATGTTGAGATGCGATGGTTAATTTTGTGATGGTCAGATGGGACTCATGGATGTCCAGGCAGCTGGTATCCCACAGTTTCCGGGAGGCCCATGAGGGCATTTCTGGAAGAGATTCATGTTTAAATCAGTGGCCTGGAGAGGATCTGTCCTTACCAGTGTAGGTGAGCTTCATCCAATTTGCTGAGAACCTGGATAGACCAAAAAGGTGGGGGAAAGTGAATGTGCCCCTGACTGTACTGGGGTACCCTCTTCTTCCACCCTTAGAAATCGGCTCTCTTGGTTCTCAGACAGTAGACTTGGGCAGGTCTCATGCCATAGGACCCTCTGTTCTCAGAACTCCAGGCCCAGACTTGACTTGGATTGGATGAAACCACCAGCTTTCCTGGTTCTCCACTTGTAACGTGGTGGATCAGGAGACTTCACGGCATCGACAATCATGGAAACCAAGTCTCATAATAAATGTGGGTACATATGGATAATATACATTGACTTGCCATAGTAATATAAGAGATGAGAGCATTTATATCAGAAACAACAGGAAAAAGTATTTTAAAAAGCTCAGAGGTGGACGGGAAAGCACAGAGCCCATGGAACTAGGTCTCATTTGTCACAGGTAGAGCATACATTGCACAAGCAATGTCAGAGGACATGGACAGAGGAAGCCAAGGCCAACCACAAGAATGTCTGATGTACCCTGCATAGAATCTGAATTTTGTCCTGAGGCAAGAGAGACTCATAGCAGCATCACAGACAAAGATCAGGTAATTTGATTTAAATATTACCAAAAGCACTGTGACATAAATATGGGGTGCATTTGAGTAAAAACAATTTTGAAACAGAAACAACCTGAACCAAGATAAAAGCAGTAAGAAAATGGAAATCATTTCCAAACATCCAATTTCCAAGAATGAGATGATGAAGGTTCTGTTCACTGAGATAGAGTATATTAGAGGCAGATTGAGTTTGAACTGAATAAACTCAGCTTTCTTACGGGTGTGCAAATAAAGGTGTCCATCAGGTGTAGGCTAGAGATAAGTGTATTTTCTGCATGTAGGTGGCAGCGGAAGCCATGAAAACAGAGTTTATTAAAAGGTGTGAGATCAACCAAAGCAGACCTCACAAAAGGAAAAGAGCAGAAAGATGCTAGCTGTCTAGGCAACCCCAGCATCCACCAGAAGAAAATGGCCAAGAAGAAAATGCAGAACAAAACAAGAACAGCTGGTGGAGTCCCCCAGGGGCTCAGGACACCCCTATTTCTACTAATTTTTTGTCCTCCCAGATTATTTCTTTTGAATGGATCTAGATTAAAACCAAAGATTGTTGTTAATAATTCGAAGTGACTTCTAAAAGGTTGAGAGGAGGAACAAGTTGTTTTTGCAGTGTGACTTTTCAGTGTTTCCCATTTCCACTTCTGCTGCCTGAAAAGGACAAATAAATTGAGAAGTAAATGAATGAAAATCTCAACATACTTCAGCCACGCCTCAGAAAAGCATTTTTCATAGCACCAATCACATCTTAAATTGAAAGTAAACTGGGGAAATAAATTAACCTGGGTGAACTTAGGTAATGTTCTGCAAATAACATTAAAAATAGTTTTCATGACCATGCACAATATCGGTGAAGAAAACCAGGAAAAGCTTAAAAGACAATTAGTCCAAAGGCTGATGTCACATTTGAGAGTTAAAACCACCAAGCAAATCTGAATAAAACATCTTGTGAGAATAAGAGGCTGAATAAAATTAAGGCAGATTAAGGAACTTACTTTTGGTGATTCTAAAAGAGTAATTATTTTCAAGTATCACAGTGTGTCTTCAGTGACTGAAATTATTACGATGCTATGAGGAAAGAACTCGATTCAAACCCGAACATGAAATGGCATTTCCACAAGGAGCAGGGGAATGGGCCGCTTCCTATGAGACATTACACCCAGAGTCTGGGTAGGTTTCTTTCCTGAACTGGAGCCTAAAATCCTACTTCATTTCCTTGCCTTTTCCCAGCATTTATAAGTATCCAAGTTTCAATGGTGGGAATGAGTAGTAGACAACGTACTCCAATTCCCTGTGCTGTAAAACTTATTTTAAAAAGTAACTTGTAAATTTAGCAGCTTGCTTCAGCTTCTTCCTGTCAACTAAAGTGGCCAACTACTCCCATTCTTAGGGACAAACAGAGGAAAACTATCACAGCCAAAAATAATGTTCTTTTTAAAAAAACTAAAATAAATCATTTTTGGTATGAATTTGCTTCTATTTCTCCCTCTCTAGAGGGTCATTATGGAATTTAGGACTGTGGACTTGAATTATCAGCTTCGGACTCTGCTTTTGGACCATCACTGTGAGCTATTGGAAGCATTAATTGTGGTGCTTTTGTTTGCACTGGCGTCTTTCTTCAGAGAACGCTAAGCAGTCCTGTTCAGTGTTTTATCTCAGGGCCTCACAGGAGCCCTGGAAAATAGAAATAGCACTCTGATGAATGTACTTTTAAACATGAAAATGTTTCCGTCGCACACATAACTCTTCCCAGTGAAGTGAGATGCTCTCCTCCCTGTAACTCCATGTCCTGAGGTCATAGTACATTCCTGAGAGCTGGGTTTATACGGGTAGATACTTTTTGTTATTTCTAGGCTGGGTAAATGGATGGATGGACAAATTGCTGTATACAAGAGTCTCAGTGTATGTTATGCTTTTTCCTCACTTGTTTGACTTTGATGAAAGGCAAATAGAAATGTGTAAATAGATGGAATAATGGAGAGGTGGGTGAGCAGTTAGAGGACTGATAAATGGAAAGATGGGTGAATGAGGAATGGTTGAGAGGAAAAATGGGCAGATGGGTGCGTAGCTGGATGGTAAGTGGATGGATGGTATTGCTGGTCCACATAATTAGTGTCATTCTATGCTATAAATGGATAAATGAGAATCTCAAGTAACACCCAGTGAGCATTCCAGAAAGAAGAGAATCCATAGATAACTGTTCTTCAAATAATATAGAAAGAGAATTTTCATGATCATACAACATATACATAAATTTAAACTATTTTTAAATCCAATCACCAAACTAGGAGAAATAGAACATACTTTTCTTCATGGGATTATTATTATAAGAATTCAGTGTTCTACTACAAATGAAAAGGGTTTCAAACATCACAAAGAGTTCTGTAAGAGTATAATGCATTACTAAAATTATAAGAAAATACTGGAGATTTAAGAAAGAGCTATTTCATTTTAATATGCTTTTTTCTTTGCCCCTCATCCTTTCTTACCCATCCATCCAGCCTTAGGTCATTTCAGATTCAACCTTTTCACAAAATGATGATCTTGGTGTACATTAGTCTTCTCTCCTTTTCACTTCTGATACAGATAGATGCTATGAAAACTAGAACAATATAAGAAAGATATTATTTCAAGTTAGAAGTCCACAGAACACAAAACAGTATCAGAAAGGACTGTGATTTTGATTCCCAAGATCAAACTTGAGGGACCATGCAGCAGGAAGAGTCCCTGAACACATTTTTTATGTCTCAAATTCATTGGTTGTCTTGGGGTTCTAGGAACCACTGGAAATGTCTTTGATTTTTCGCTATAAATCCCACTTTACGTCAGAGTTGAGCCAGACTTCAACCATCTCAGCTTGGCCCACAGCAGTGCAAGCCCCCCAGGAAACCAACAAACCAATTGTTTTCTAAAGTGTGTTTCAGAGGATAGAATTTCTGATGTGGTTTTGATATTTCAATACAACTTTTATTATCTGTTGCTAGGTTTAAAAAAAAATAAGTCTTCTCAATCTAGAGTCTAAAATAACAGCAAGCACTTCCTACCTCTCAGATCACAGTGTATTAGCTGGGCAAAGCTTCTGCTGGCTGCCCCTTGGTGTCTTACTGGGGGTGTCAATGGGTGCTGTCTGGGGCTGCAATCATCTAGCAGGTCATTTGGCAAATTGAGCAACAGAGCCTCCTTCTTCTGGTACCAGACCAAATTGCAGGATTTTTCCAGTGAGAAAAACCAGACTTGTTACACAGTGGCCCACGATCCCCTACCGCATAAAAAGACTATCCCAAAGGGAGAAAGCAGAAGCTGCCAGTTCAAAAACAGGCACAGTGTCTCCCTCACTGCATTTCAAGCTCAGTACAAGCCACAGACTGGCTCAGACTCAGTGCAGGAGGTGACCGCAGAGACGTGAGAGGACTTAAGGCAGAGCTCACTGGGGGCCACCTTTGGACATGCAATGCCATGTGGCATTACCGTGAAAACTGCTTCTGTTAATTAAAAGCACACAGAGGAGGGAGGATGCCTTGCACCACTGCATGCCCCACCGTTCTTCATGACAATAAATACCAAAATGATTCACCTGGGAGTTGTGAGTCCTCTGCCCTGCAGACGGTATTGCCATTCAGTGGCCATGGTCACAGAGGATTGAAGGAAGGCTCAGCTCTAGAATACACTCTGTGTAATCCCAACCTTGAATTGTATCTGCTGTTTAGAAATAAGGAAAGACTACACGAACACATGTGTGCGTTGTTTCAGCTCTGTTAATGAGCACATAAGTTAAGGACCTTCTTTAGTTTCACTCCAGGTGTTTCATTGACCTTAAATCGTTTGGTTTTCTCAGTGATCCCCTGAGGTTGATAGGGCTCAAGTGTCTGTGAGTCCCAGACAATCATATTCCCTCAGCCTTGATTATTTTACTCTTTTTATGTGAGGTTGGTTCAATCCAAAAGTGGCAAGATGAAGAGTGCTCTGAATAGTGTTTATCTGAGAAAGGGAAGAGGTAAAAACGGTAGAGTTGAAAAAAGTCATCCTGTAAGCATGGCAGACAAAACCTCAGCCCAGGCGCTCTACGCAGCAAGAGTGGCTGCATCTTCCAGCGTTGAACACTCAGAACCCGCTCTCCGTCTGCACCTCTCATGCTCTGATCCTGCTTGCTTGGTGGGGAAACCAAAGTCACACCTTAGAGGCAATGCCAAGCCATCTGCATCCCTACTGTATCTAAGAGATTGAGAAAAAGTGGTTGTTACAGAGATTCTACCCTAACAATTGCGTCAAAGTGAAGCAATAATCTGGATAAAATAACCATATTATAGGCACTATGTTTGTTGTAACTCTTTCTCT